GTCAAGTGCCAGAAGACCACACTTAGGAACATTACAAAGTGCTAAAAACCAAAAGATACAGACAAAACCTTAAGAATAGCCAGAATAAAAAGACATGTTATATATAGAAGAATAAAAATAAGAATGGCCACTGACTTCTTATCAGGAAAAAAAAAAAAAAAGATGAAGGCCAGGAGGCCACTGAACATTTTCAAAAGAAAACCAATCAACTTAGAATTGCAAATCCAGCAAAAATATCTGAAAAGTGAAGCCCAAATAAAGGCATTTTCAGATAAACAAAGGCTGGAGGAAAGTGCTGTCAACACACTGTAAGAAATGTTAAAGGAAGTTCTTTAGACTAGGGTAAGATAATACTACTAGATAGAAATTTGGAATTGCCTGAATAAATATGAATCATCGGAAATGGTATATATGTGGGGAAATAGGACATGTGACTTTTTTTCTTTTAAAAAAATTTTTAGTAACCAACTGACTCGTTTAAAATATTAGCAACCTATGTGGGATACAAAACAAATGTATCAGTATCATATTTAACAAAGCATAAAGACAAAAGGGGGTATATAAGTGGATTGTTTTTCAAGTTTTTTACATTGTATGGAAATGGCATGATATTAATTCAAAGCAACTGATAAAAATGGAGACTGTAAACTGGAGAGGAACCACCTAAAATATAGAGAGGTGTAACAGTGAAAGCCCATAGAAGATACAGAAAGAAGTGCTGATAAAAAAAAAGAAAAAGAAAAAAAAAAGAAAGAAAGAAGTGCTGAAGGAAACATTCAGTTAACTCAGATGAAGGCAGGAAAGGAGACACAAAGAACAAGCAGTTAAAGAGAACACAAGTAAGATAATGAGACAACCACAAATATAGAAACAATAATGCAAACAGAACGAACAGTCCATTAGGAAGTTAGTGATTTTGGGTCTCAAGCACTTGCAGGTAACAAGACCACTCTAAATATAAAGTCACAGATAGGATGACAATAAAGAACTGGAAAAAATGTGACATGTCACAAGTAAGCATAAAGAAGCTGGTGTGCCTCTTAACACAGAAAACTCTACAGCAAGAAGTATTACAGACAATAAACAAGAATTAACTCCACATTGACCAGAGGGTAGATCATAGAGAAGACATAACAAATATAAATGTGTAAGCATTTAATAAAGTTTCTAAACACATGAAGCAAAACAGAGAAATATATAGAAATTCATAACTTTATACTGGAAGCTGTATTTCCAGTTAAAAATGGGGGAAAAATATATTCACAAGTGATTAAATCTGTAAAACAACCATATAATTTTACCAAGAGATAGGACCTGTGTAGACAAGCCTATAAAGTGTTGTCAGGATTAAAGACTCATGAAATAAGTCAATCAGAGAAGGACAAACATTATATGGTTTCATTCATTTGGGGAATATAAAAAATAGTGACAGGGAATAAAGGGGAAAGGAGAGAAAATGAGTAGGAAATATCAGAGAAGGAGACAGAACATGAGAGACTCCTAACTCTGGGAAACGAACAAGGGGTGGTGGAGAGGGAGGTGGGCAGGGGGTAGGGGTGACTGGGTGACGGGCACTGATGGGGGCACTTGATGGGATGAGCACTGGGTACTATGCTATATATTGGCAAATTGAACTCCAATATATTAAAAAAAAAAAGGATTAAAGACTCATGCCAGTGTCTTTGAAGACAATCTACTTCCATTTTCAAGTGAAGAAATAAACACAGCTGCAATGAAAATGCCAATGTGGGTATTTTGAACTGATAGCAGAATATTTCTTTTTTAAGTATTCATGATGAAGGGGATAAAAGTCATGATGTCTATAATTTACATTCAAAGGGCACATCGAAAAAAGAAAGGTTGAAATATATGGTAAAATGTTAACAATTCTTGAATGCAGGTAGTGGGTATAAATTGTATATCTCAATATAATTTCTACTTTTTTATAAGTTTGAAATAGTTTTTAATAAAAAATATTTAAAAATGTATTTATTAAGTAACAGTTTCCATAAAATTTTTAGAAGGTAATTGAAAGATGAAGATGATCTTACCAGGTATGTATAAGTTTCAATATATATGTATAGTTTCAGTAATCAAAACAGTATGAACATAGTGGAAAATTAGGTAATTAGTATTTAAATGGATAAAGGAATCCAAACAATTATCCAAGTTTAGATGAAAACTTCAATCAATGGAAAAAAGAGATTATTAATTAAATAATATTGATTCAACTCACCAGTTATAAATAAAAGACATAACTCCAGAAGAACTAAGATCTAACTATGAGAATCAAAACTATAAAAATATACAAAACTATTAACTAAGTACTATATATATTACTGTGAGGACAGGGGAGGTTGTCTTACACAAGACAGGAAACCAGATTTGATAAAAACAAATGGGAGATCTGACCTCATGAAATTAAATTTCTTTATAGTCAAAAGAAAATCTGAATAAAATTTTTGAAAATTGCCTAGAGAAAATATTTGTAACATATAACAGAGAAACTCTTAGTACCCTTAACAAAATATATAATGTACACTGATTTATCATAAAAAGTAAACAATTCAACAAAAAATATACAAAAGCTCTGAACAGACATATACATAGAAGTAGGATTAATAAATGGCCAACAAACATGAAGCAATCTGTAATACAGAGAGCTATCAGAAAATGGCACATTTAATGAGCAACAATTTTCACCCACATGTTAGGAGGAGAATCTATTTTTAAAGGACCAATAGGTCAACAGGTAGACTAAATAAGCAAGTTTATTGCAGCATTATTTACACTGCAAAATTCTAGAAATATCTGACCACCAGTATGGGGAAAGTTTTAATAAGCCTTTATATTGTTGTACCCCATCCTACAAGGTGTTATGTAACTCCTAAAAACAGGGAATGCATCCAGTATAATCACATTTTTATTAATAAAAAACAGAGGACAGTATGTTTGTGTAGATACAGTGTATAGACAGACACACACACCCCAACACAGAGCTTTGAATAAACACAGAAAAGTACATGGGATGATTTTAATACCAAATAGATTGCTGGCATGGAATGCAGAAAAACAGAATATTCTTCTTATATACACTTCTGCACTCTTTGAATTGTTAAGACAAACATGCATTACCTTTAAAATTATCCAAAATTTAATCATCCATAGGTAGACAGTATACACCATTAACACACACATATGCATTAAGCACCAAATATATTATTTGTAATTAGATTTTAAATTTTCTATTTTAAAATATTATTGTAACCATTTTGCTAAAAATATATGAAAGAAACTTGATACAAGTTACATGACTCTTACTTATAATCTAAAAAAATGTATGTGTATGAGTTTCAGCAAACCAAAGGCTACTTTCATCCAGGGTCTATTTTCCTAATCTTATAAACCACCATAAGAAAGAGAACTGTAAACAAACACCTGTTTTTACAAGAGCTACACACAAAACCTGTTGCAAGCAGAGGAAGATGTGCTGGGAAGAACCTCTGTGGCCCATACTGACACCAACCCCTTCCATGGTCCTGGGAGGGTCCTGGTAATGTGTTCAGACTGCCCTAGGTGAAAATAGGTATCTCTTTTTTCCTTAAACAGGGTTCCCAAAATTGTCTAAATTTCAGGCTCTGCAAAATCTGGACCTGCCTGTTTGAATGCAAACTGAATCACAAACAACGACGGCTTAATCAAAGGAATCGATATCATTTTACTACATGTATATGATATTCTTGAAGAGGTAAACTTTATTGCATATCTGTAGTCATTTGTAAACCTCATGTTTCATGTTTGTGGTACCTGAGTGAATTGCTTCTAAAAGCTTTAAAGCAAACTCTTCTAAAAAAGAAATGTTATGCTTGTCCTTCTCCGATGGACTTACTTCACTCAGCATAATACCCTCCAGTTCCATCCATGTTGAAGTAAATGGTGGATATTTGTCGTTTCTAATGGCTGAGGAATATTCCATTGTATGAGCACTGGGTGTTATTCTGTATGTTGGTTAATTGAACACCAATAAAAAAATAAATTTATTAAAAAAAAAGACAGCTACATAGGTAAATATAAAAAAAAAAGAAATGTTATGATCAATACTGAAGGTTCACAGAGGAAGAATGCACAGCACCTGAACAAAGAGAATATAGACCCAAGTCCAGCAGGACTAGCAGAGACCAGTAAACAAGTGTTCACAAATCTCAAGGTAAAGATGGCATCCCTTAAGATGGACTTGATCAGACATGGAAACCACAAAGGGAGAGTCCTAGCAGGAAAAGGTGGTGGTCATACCTACAAACTGACAAGAGGAAGAGGCAGGTTAGCCAGTAGACTGACATCTACTATACAGATGGTGGTCAGGTTCACCATGAACACACCTGATATATTTCTGAATCCATTAGGTAAGACATGCCTTCCCAGAAAAAATAAACCAGATAAATTTGGCCTGATACGTTAGAACATTTTAAGTAATCTAATTCTCTTTGTTCTGACTCCATGTTCATGAAACAAACTTTTGTCACTTAGTTTCCTAAATCCCAGCACTCTGATGTTTGTAACTAGAATTATGTTAGAAGAATAAGAAGGAATTCCAGTTTTATCCACCAATCACATTAACCCGATCAATAAGATCCGGATTCTGAAAAATGAATCCATTTTCATTTCCTTTTGAGTCTGTGAAGCCAATGACTAAACCCTGGACTGAAATGAATTCAAGGAGAGACCTCTTGCAAGATGACTTCTCTTTAAAAGTATCCATTTCTGTGTGAGCAGTTTAAGTTGCAATTCATATTTTAATTATCCCCACAATTCACACTAATTCTGTCAAATAAGGAAACATGCAAAGTAAATATAAAGTGCATGTAAAACAAAAAGAAAACATGTAAAGATTTTTACACTTCTTCCTTCAAATATAAATTTATGCTAAATTATATTTCTGTTTTTAAGTTTATTTCAGATAATACTTCCTATGCTTCTAAACTTTTAAAAAGTATTTTTACCTATGTGATTGATTATTAAGGTTTAGCGATCCGGTCTGGTACATCTCTTCCAACTGTTTCCTGTTTCCAAAGTATAAAGCAAGGTCTGTGGCAATGATGGCTTTGCGGATGATCTCAAGCACCTGTTCATATTCACTGGAGCTCAGGGTGGAGAAGATATTGTGCCCTTCCAACTACGGAAAAAACACAAATAAACACCACCAATAACAAGCACAAGCTCTAATCTTATGACATTTGCAGGTACTTGAAACAATACAGTCAGTCAATGGCATTTGGCACACAAATGACAAGTTTGGGGGGAACAAAAGGATAGTTTGTAATGATTAATGTAAATTAATGTGGTTTTGCCTTAAGCTACAACAATTATGTTACCATGTAAAGGATCTATTTCCTACAGTAACATCATTTGCTACCAAAAAATCCGAGTTATTTAAATATAGATCTAGTTTTTGGATATTTCTAGTAAGCTATTAAATGACTAGAAAATGTAAAATATTTAAGACATTTTTTCTTCTAAAGATTTTATTTATTTATTCATGAGAGACACACAAAGAGAGGCAGAGACATAGGAAGAGGGAGAAGCAGGCTCACTGTGGGGAGCCTGATGCGGGACTCGATCCCAGAACCCCAGGATCACTACCCGAGCCAAAGGCAGACGCTCAACCACTAAGCCACTAAGGTGCCCCTTAAAACATTTCTTCTTAAACTAACTTAAAACTTTAGTAATTTTATATTAGATGGAAACTAATGGGTTATAAATCATGTATATCTTTGTCCACTTCAGCACATCTAACAAATAGTAACCTACTTCCTCCATATCCTCTAAGAAACAGTTCCACAATCTCAAAATAAAGTTTAGTCAGGCATATTAAAATTTCTCCCAACAGGTTAACAATCCTTTTATGTAAAGCACAATTGCTGACGTGAAAACACTGTAGGACCACCCCCTCTTCCACTGTGGTCACAGGAGGGAGAACAGCAAACTAAACCCTGGACAAGACTACACACTGGGCATTTGCACTCTAGTACCTCAGCATTATTCTTTTGCATATGAATCTGTTAAGAATTTTTTAGAATAACTTTTTCCATGGGCAGCCTGGGTGGCTCAGCGGTTTTGCACCACCTTTGGCCCAGCCTGATCCTGGAGACCCAGGATCGAGTCCCATGTTCGGCTCCCTGCGTGAAGCCTGCTTCTCCCTCTGCCTGTGTCTCTGCCTCTGTCTTTCATGAATAAATAAATAAAATATTAAAAAAAAAACACTTTTTCCTCTGAGAATCTTAAGTCTTTATTTGTAATTGAGATTAAAAATGGGTTGTTTTTATTCAAACAAAAAGACTGAAATAATAAGGATGCATTCAATTTGTGCTCATCAATTATTGTTAAATTATTCATTATTAGACAACATAGTCCTACTGTAACTGATTGCTTTCACTTGCTCTAAGCTATACTTATCGGCTGATAAAATACCTTAAAAACTTGAAACTATTAAAGTATACTTTTTTTTCTTACAAAATCAGACATCTCACTAAGACGTGGCCTCCTTCCTATTACCCTGAAATAAGGCTGTATGTGCACCATTTTTTTTCAATCAGAATCATTATTACCTAGTTTTTAGCTTTTATAAATATTTAAATTATCCTATGATAAATGCAGCAAATGGAGTTATTTCTAGTTGGTTATTTTTCTGACAGTAATAATAGGAAGGACTTACATTTATAGGATGCTTGAAATTCACAAAACATTTTCAAAGACATGATTTCACTTTCAAGTTATAAAATTTAAAGAACTCTCTGAAGAACTCTTTGGAATCTAATTGAAATGAAGTTATTTGTTGAATCATCAACAGGATTTTTCTTTGCCTGAAGAGTAATTGCGGTGCTTAGATAAACTGGTCATTTTGGTCATTTTTAGTAACACAATCTTACTTGAAGTAGCCTTCATGAATACGACAGCCAAAGGGTAGATGTGATGGCCGACTTCAGCTCAACAAAAGGAAGAAACCCCTGAAGTTCAGTTACCACGGGGATGATGTAGGAAATGTTGTGGGTGGAAGGCTGAACCCAGGCTGCTTAGTCACTGAGGGGACAGGGGGAAGAGATTCAAGTTCTGGGAAGGTGGTTGAACTCAAACTTCCAAAAATTTTAGAGCAGCAAGTTAAAAGAAAAGAACTTTTTTCTCTGACTCCTGCCATGAAATCTGCTTTGCTTTCATTTCATCCTAACTCAAGGAAAAGTGGCAGTTTCCGTTTCAATATTTAATGCCTTGTCACCTACGCTCCCAAAGCGTAAACACGTTTCATACTGGTATGCATGGTTGGTTCTCAAGCACACATCTACTATTGGCAGGCTGTCAAAAGAGCAATCACATGTGAAAAATATTTATGTGCTTTATTACCAATAAACCATTAAATTGTAGTGTATAAAAATATTCTATCATACTGTTGAAAAATTTTCTTTAATCCCTCTAAAAAAAGGGACTTCTTAGCCTGGGTTCTAGAAATTGTCTCCGGGACCATAGAGTTACAAACTCACTGCAACTATATACATACACACATACACACACATATATATTTAACACACACATATTATAAAAATATGTTTGCTGAGTGTGTCATCCTTAAGGACATCTCAAAAGTATCCATGATCTATGGCAAATGCAGATGATTTTAAAGGATCTGTATATTGTTGGCTACTTCAGATTTATTATTTCTTTCATTGCTTTTCTTTTTAAAAATTTTATTTAAATTCTAGGTAGTTAACATGGAATATTGGTTTCAGGGACTTTTTGATATGAAAGGAAACTAGGTGGAAAAGTTTAGCAGAGGTCCTTTGTAAGGGAAAGTTGTAACCAGAACCCTTTTACTGCTTCCTTCAATATTTTGCAAGAGCAAAGGTAACAAATACATGAACTGTATACCTTTAAGAGGATCAAGTACATATTTTTCAGCACTTTGCTCCTACCAAAGGAAAAGAAAATAAGGGAGATACAGCAACCAAACAGAGCAGATAAAAAGCTTTAAATCTTTTAAAAGCTCCAATTTCACATTAGTTAACATTAAAACCTTATAAAATAATACTTTCTATATACCAACTGGTGAGTTTATTATAGTTAATGTTCCAGGTTGTACTGTGTGAAGTTTATATGAATTTAAGGCAGTTCATCCCATTTTGTTATCAATCACACATTTTATATTGGGAAATGTGTCTAAAATCCAAAGATGGATGAACTGCATATAGTCAGTCCTCAGGCCTGTGAGAGCATGAGTGGGCTCTGTTGCAGGTGCTCTAAGCAGCTGAGGTCTATGAGCTACTAGAGAGCATGGGCAATGCTGGAATCAGCTATGTGCTGGAAACCCCCTGGTGACCCACTCCCTGGGTGGGTCATCTTTCAATCCCTCCGACTCTCAACAGGGTGACCCCACAGATTCTAGCTGTTGACTGCACAGCCTCTGTTCTTCCCATCACAAGATGAAGAAAAGAGGTCTTTACTGATTTGGCAGATATTTCGTCTGCAAGGCTTCACTTTGTGTAAGGATGTTCACGGGACAGCAGCTACTCTGCCCATGGGCCCAAACAACATGAGTTCATTCTGTGAAGGGTTCACAGCTTAATGGGAGAGACGCGTATAAGCACGCAATAAAATGGATGGAGCAGTCTCCATGATGGAGAAGACCTCGGGCAGGGACACGGATTCTGCAGACAAGGAGGGGCCACAAGCATACACGGGACAGCAGGAGACCACACGTGTGGGAGCCACACAATTTCAATATGGCTCAAGCACATTGTCTGCGTGAAAAAATGGTGACAAATAGTAAGAGTTCAAACAAAGGCCTTGTGTCAGAACTGAAATGATCACCGGAAGGCGACAAGAAGGGTCAGGACAGGAGAGGCCTGTCCTACGACAATCACTCTAGCAACAGTGTGGGTTGCAGGTAGGTTAGAACCAAAGCGGAAAGACACACTGATCCATCTTTCCTCAGCAAGCTTTTAAAATATTATTATTAATCATAAAGAGTTCTCCTCAAAGCCCCATGCTGCTTAGTTCTATGAAAGAGATTCTTAAGGAAAGGCCCTGGGGCTCAGATTTTAATACCTGTATGCCAACCAGCCCAAGCCCACCAGGTGGGTTTAAGTCACCACCACAGGAAGCCATAGGCACGGGCTGAATCATTCAGGGGGTCTGACATGACAAAAGTCAATTGCATCGAGCATTCACAATGGCAACAGCTGGATATTTATTCTGATACTTAATCACCTACTGCATCAACCACAGGATAGGAAGCATAGTAGTACTGTAATTAAGAACTTAGGATTTGGAGTCAAACAATTCTAGCTTTTAATCCTGTTCACTTACTAGCTCTATGACAATGGACAAGTTATTTAACCTCTTTGATGCACATTACTCTTATTTGTAAAATGGAAATAAACTGTGATACCTATCTCATAGAATGTTATAAAAATCAATGTGTTAATACGTGCAAAATTCTTAGGTTTCTGATTTATTTATTTATAGTAAGTATTAAGTATATAGTGTTTATAATGAGCACCTAATAAATGATGAAGTGATTACTATGATGATGACTGTGATGAAGAGAACAAAATCTACCAGTTTAACTTCAGCCAGAGCAAAGGGACAGAAAGGAAAATCAAACAAACATATATGCCCAGAAAAAAATTTGGTAGCCAAAGATCACTTTTATCCACTCAGAATACATCTACAAAAAGTGACAGGTTGAAGCTATCCTCTGTGTGATAACTTTCAACTTATTAGTAAAGGCAGTGATGGAGAGAAGTATGATAATTTTGCAGTAAATTCTACTTAGTACAGACAGATTGGAAGAATTGCTTGTTAGCAACTATAGGAAGTAATGAAAATGTCACAAGATTCCAAAATGCTGGGTATAAAGACAATTTTCTTAACATCTAAACATATTTCAGAATCTAGACAATTTAAGATTAATGGAATATTGAGAAAATTTTCTTTTTTAAAAAAAGATTTTTTTATTTTAATTTTAGAGAGATAGAGGGAGAGAGAGAGTATAAGCCAGGGGAACAGCAGAGAGAGAGAGGGAGAAGTAGGCTCCCCACCAAGCAAGGAGCCTGATGTGGGATTCGATTCCAGGACCCTGGGATCATGACCTGAGCCAAAGGCAAATGTTTAACTGACTGAGCC